CAGGAAAAAATGACAGCTTGTTTGAACCTACCCTTTATTGTGTTTGAGACAAAGCAATGATTACTAGGAGACCAGAATTCATGCATAATTTGTCAAACAGATCTCCAAGGAAATGTAATTGGCTTCATCTCTGTTACCTCAGGGATGAATTAAAGTTAAGACTCATTATTAATTTTTAAAACGATGATCACCTTTTAATTAATGAGTCCCAGCGTGAAGTCCTTATATATTGTACAAGTTTGTGTGTGTAAACAGGAACATTGACCAAAATGCATTTGGCATTGGATACGTTGACTCTAATAGTATAAGGTCACAATGATCAATTTTAAATATTCTTTGTTCTTATTTGTTCCTTACTTCCTCTAATATTTAGAACCTTCGTACCGACATAGTTATGGATGTTGGCACCAGCCTGAACCCAGCCATAGATGTAGGACAGGTAAGCTATATATCACCTATTTAACTTCAGCATGCTTGATCTTATGCTGCCGTAGGCTATTTGTAGGGAACCCTTGCTCCCTCCCACTGCCTCCTGACAAGTACAGCATTGTAGGCTATCCAGAGAAACTTCCTGGTTGAACTGACGACTGATCTCCAAAACTGGAGAAGCAACAGACTCAACCTTTTTGCTGGATATACCATCTTGTCTGGACCAGGGGTTGTTCATGAAGACTCTTATGTGGTTGCTAATTATTACATTGATGCGTTTCTAAATTTAACCCCAGGTGAGGAATGCACTCAGAGAAAGTTTATGAGAGAAGGGAAGGAGATAGGACATTTACCTATTGAGTTTTGTGTCTCTGGTCCCACCAAAGTCATTATTCCATTAAAGTCATTGGGAATGCTTGAATGATTAAAGACTGTGTTCATGAATCAAAATTGCAGGATTAGTCCTCAAATAGCTCAGATAACCATGGACTAGGGGCTATATTAGAACCTAGATCAATAGCTTAGCTTGTAAGTTCCCTGATCAGGGGCAGTGCTTTTTTCTGTCTTTTGTACAGTAATAAGCTAAGTAATGTTTTATGATTACTGCTGGCAGTAAATTCAGGAATTTTCTGCATTCTGCTGGCTGAATGATTAGAAGTCTGTCTGCACACAGTGAATGGCTGAATACAGTGGTCTTCACCCTTGAACAGTTAACATGGATACAGTATAATTCCACTCATACTGATGCAGGATGTAGGGCTGAAATGATCCTCGTGCATCAGAGGACCCTATCTTGGTTACAGGGAGACTCCCACTTAGAGCGAAGTCTCTTGTGAGGAAAAAAATGATCCTATTAGGGAAAATCCTACTTACAACTTGAGTCATGGAGGTTGAGGAAGGGGGAGGCTGTTCAAAGGATCTTCTTAGCCTATGTCCCTCCAAGAGATTTTCTTATTTATTGTCAAGGCTCTATGGGAGAGAGATGATATGGCTGGAGGGTCAACCAAAATGTGGTGCCTGAGGAAAGAAGGGAGCACAAAATACATTGCAGCCCTTAGGCAGTATCCCTGAACCCAGTCTCTCTCTATATTGGTGTTCAGGGCTGGTGAAGAGAATGAGGCATACCCTAGAAGATGATTCCACTGTCTTTATAACCAGCACTTTTCTAACTTCCCTTTTTCCAACCTTCATTATTGTCATTAGTTACTGTGCAATTCCATTACTATCCTTCTGTGTTCCAGAGTACATCTGGGAATTTTCTACTAGAGCATTGGCTAATCTTTCTTCTGTCGTTGGGTACATTTTTCAAAAGCACATAAGTGAATTAGGTATCTAAGTCACGTTTACTTTCAAGTCCAGTAGAATTTTTGGAAAGTCTGAAGCTTTTCTGAGGACCCTATCATTACACCATCTAAGCAGTGGCTGAAGAAGCCTCAGCCTTTCTGATTCTTATGGTGTGCAAATCGCCATCAAAACACTTACCCAAAAAAATGTGGAGGTAAAGATATCTTTGCCAATGACCTACTGTATAACAGAGCAGTGAGAAATTTTATTTTGATATGAATAAAATAAGTAAAATCATTTGTTTTAAGGGAAACCTTCTGTCATCACCAGCTTCTAGAATGCTTTTCCTGCACTGAAAAGTTGAATTAACATTGGATATAATACATAGTTGCATTCAGATTTAAACCTACCTAAGAGGAAGTCATTACTACAGCTGTTTACATGCATTCAATTTTAGTCCCTGCATAAAAACATCAGATATTTATTGCTAGGGGCTGTAAACATCTTATAATTACAGCTCCTAGCAATTTTTGATCCCTAAGCACTCTCATAAACTCTGTGTGTGTGTGCGTGTGCATGTGTAGGAACTGTTCCATACACTGTGAACATGGAACAATTTCTAAGCCAGGCTTGGGATCTGCATAGCAGGGAAACTGCAGGGCATGACAAGTTTAAGGTGAAGGCAGAAGAAGAATGTTATTCCCAAGTGAAAGGGCAAGAGGTGTACAGATGCAGAGTGTTATATCCACATGCAAGAAGCAAGTTTTGTTTGGTAAAATCTTTTGTCCACATGGCTATTTGCCTACAATATCAGGGTTAAAGTCCTTTTGCAAAATGTCCCATTTGGATTTGTCATTGTTTTTTCTTGTGAATGAGAAAAAGAAGAATTTAAGTTCTCTTTTGCATGTGTTTTATAGATAGAGGGAGCGTTTGTACAGGGCATTGGGCTCTTTACCCTGGAGGAACTGCGCTATTCACCTGAAGGAAACTTATATACCCGAGGGCCTGGAATGTACAAGATCCCTGCATTTGGAGACATCCCATCAGAATTCTATGTGTCTCTTCTCCGCAACTGTCCAAATAGCAAAGCAATTTATTCATCCAAGGTATCTCTGGAGGCTCTGTATACCCATTAGTAAGCCATGCGTTCTTGGAAACTGTGCGTGTTAAAAGACCTGTGCAATGGAACCAAATTAATGGTAATAGGATGTGTCTACACAAGACAATTTACTGCACAGTAGAGCTAATTACTGCCCAGTAAGTGTCCACATCTACATATGCTGGTGCTTACTGTGTAGTAATTGGCTCTAATCATGAGTAAATTTGCTACCTGCAAATGCAAGTAGCAAATTTATTCAGGATTACTTGCTGTGCAGTAGTGCACATGTGGACACCTGACTGGGAGCAAATGTGCTCTTGGGCAGCAGGGGGCAGGAGAGTGCTTGCTGCACCTGGGAGCTGCCCGTTGCAGGGGTGGGCTCTGCCACTGGAGCCCAGGCAGGGACAATGTCCCCCTGCCCTGGCAGCCAGGAGCTCCCAGTCCCTGCTTCACAATCATGTAGACCCTCATGCCCTAGCCAGCCCTCTGAAACACCCTCATGCCCTAGCCAACCACTCCATAGCACATGGAGTCCTGTCAGAGCTGTCCTGGGCTGGCAGGTTGACCCCCCCCACCCCAGGGTTGCATGCCAGCCCAGGCTGCTCTGACAGGGCTCCACATGCTATGCATGAATTTTGTTTATTTGTTCACAATAATCGCATGTGTAGATGCACACACCAAAAGGGATGAATAGCCTACTGGCAGTATTCTTCAGATGTCATCATGACAGATCAACTGGTGTCTATAGGTGGCCATGCCATAGGTATTGGGTAGTCTGCAGTTTGACATACAATGCTAGCATATGTTCAGAGAGTGCCTGGTGCATTCTTAGCTCAAGGGGACACCCCAAAACACCCCCAAAACATCATAATCTAAATATTGGCATATAGCTAATGGTGTCCATCCTTTCTCCCCTTTCCTCCTGCCCCAGGGAAACTTCCTGACAAATCATTAAAGTTGTTTTTCAGCAATTACTGCTATTCATGCACTCAGTGCTGTTAGCAGGAAGGCACTCAAACAGGGGAAACTGAGGGAAAGCAGAAGAGCTTGCAAGATTGCTCAGGGGCCTGCTCCTCCTTCCCTCCTTTCCAGGGGCCCCACAATCCCAGCTCTGACAGGTGTGTTTCAGATTTCATCTGATTCTCTCATGCTTTCTGTCTGCCCAGGCTGTGGGAGAGCCCCCACTGTTCCTCTCTGCCTCCGTGTTTTATGCTATTAAAGATGCCATCTTCTCAGCGAGGAGAGAGTCTGGCCTGACAGAGCCATTCAGACTTGACAGTCCTGCCACCCCAGAGAGGATCCGAAATGCTTGTGTTGACATCTTCACCAAACTGGTACAGTACTTAAGGCACTTTCAGCTTTGTAGTATGCTATGGTCCAGTTCAGCAACACCCTCCCACCAGCCCACCCGGGGTCCTGTATGAAGCACCATGGAAGTGCTCATGTGATCAGACAAAGAGGTTTTTAGTTAGGCAGCTGGGAGGTTTTGAGCTAGTACTTTGAATGTTACTGAAAGAGAAATGCAAGTCTACAAATCAGCCATTTCCAAGAGCTTTCATTGCTGCCTGGGACAACAACAAAGCCTCTTCTTTTACTTCAGGAATTGATAGAGAAACTGTTAACTGAATCTCATCTGGAAAATGGAGAAACAGGAGTAAAAACAGTCTATACAGAAGAAAGTGCTAAAAGTAAACAGAGATAAAAATCAAAGAAGCAATCTAATAAGATTAGAAGCCAGCTCTGTCTCCAGTCCATTTAATAAAACACATGCATGTAAATTGTAAACAGTCCCCAGTCTTTATTAGCTAATGGGGATAGGTCAGATTCCAGTAACTTCAGCTTTTTGTAGTAGAAAGGCACTGGTATATTTATTTATTGGCATCCCTATGGTGTTCTTCACCTTCATCTCTGAGACCCTGATGAATGTTAATACATACCTCAGGCCCGTCGTTAAGAGTAAAGACCTCCATTATGGAAAATAAAAAATGTGTAGGCCTTGATGACTATTGGTGGATATTAAAATCTCTTCAGTCTTCCTTCTAAGTCTTCATGTAGGCCATAATCCTGCAACTGAGCCTATGTGGGCTGAGCCAGCTTCTTTGCATTACCCCATTGCAGTCAGTACCCTGTATTTGTAGGAGTGGATTCCAGGACCTGGGTAGAGCACCATCATGTTCAGCGGGGCTCTGGGATTAAACAACATGCAGAACTGTGGCACCAGTCTTTACTCAAATATAACTTCATTGTAGTTAATGGAAAGGTAGCACCCTGAGAGCTAATGCCTTGTCATCTTGCTTGTGGCTCATGAGCTGTCTTGTGAAGATGAGCAGCATTCAGCTCCTGGTAAAGAGGTCAGGATTATGCCTAGTATATTTAGCAGAATCTTCTGTATCAGAGCCTGTTGCAGACTTGTCATTGCTAGCTCTATCTGATGTATAGTTCAACATTCTGGAGGAGCGGGATTCTGAGCTCTGATATTCAACAGACTAAAGTCCGCTTGCCATAGCTGCCAATGGCCAATCAGTCTAGCTTTATAGAGAAGTCAAAGTGTGCCCCTAGGTGGTTACTTACTCCCTGTTTTAACTTTACAGTGTCCATCTGCTGA